AATTTTCACAACTGCTGTGAAATATATTCGTAAAACTTCAAATTCAAGTTAAATAGCAAAATGTTAATACGATTAAAGTTATTATCAAAAGAATTAAAATTGTTAAATATCATACGAAAAATAGTCCTCGAGATTCTTTCTCCCGATTCATTGGAGTTCACCACCCTAGTGATATGAAAACCACTAAAAAACATATTTCACGACTGCTGCATATCACCGCGAGTATCGCGTTTTTCATCGAGTTTTACGCCACTTCACGTAAAACGGGTCGTGAAGCTCCCAGAATATACTCTATAACTACATTTTCCGCCAAAAAATGACACCCCCAGGGATCGAACCCACGCCCTCCACCACCCTACCTTCTTCTCAGTCGAGGCCATATCCTGCTGAACACTTTTAACCCAACGACTCCTCACAAGCTGTTCCCCTATGTTGTCTTCTATCCATTTCCTATCGCCTTCACTTACCCCAACACCGTCAGAGGACCTCCCGAGCGACTCTTTGAGATCCTGAAAGATGATAAAATAAATTCGATTGCTCTCCCCATATCAGTGTTGGAATATATGTTTGCTTTCCTCAACTGAACTCGTGACTTTTCTCACTACATTATGAAAATCCACCCACAATTTCGGGTGAAATCGTACAAAAACCAACTATAATTTTCCAAAATTTCTTTTTTTACAAACACATTCTCACACACTGCCCATACCGCACCTCCCACAACTCCAATTCTCTCAGCTGAGGATACGGCCTCATAGCCTCCAACTGCTGGAGCTCCTCCCGAGTCAACGTAGCCCTCCTCAGGACCTCATCCCTCAGACCCGCACTAGACTGACGACTTTCCATCGACGATTTCATTATCATCAACTCCTCATCATTTCCTTGTGGTTCGAAACCCACCTAAAACGTATAGGAAATTCAAACCAAATTTCTTTCCCATCTCGAATGAAAATGGCATACATTTCTAAAAAATACGAATTTCTGAAATTCTATTCCAATTTTTTGTTCCTATGTCGAATAAAAATGTCGTAAATTCCTAAAAAAATTATCAAAAAATTATCAAAAAATTCAAATCTACTTTTTATTCTCATCTCGAATGAAAGTGATATCAAAGGTTCTCAACTCGAAATTTGTCAATAAGTGAATTCGTACTAAAACCGATAACTGACATTCACAAAATAAAATTACTTTCAGTGAGATGCTTTTTTGACTTTATATTGAGAAATTCATGTCATTTTCATTCGAAATAAGAATGGAAATTTGATTGCAATTTCTCAAAGTTGTATTTTTTATGTCATTTCTATTCGAGATGAGAAAAAAATTGTTGGAAAAGTGTTGTGAATACCCAAAACTAATTTTCGATCGCCCTACCGTTTGCGACAACAAACAAAAACTCCTCATTCTACTATCATACATATCACTTGTGTGATACACCGTAGTGGACCTCTTTTGCATCTTACCAAGCCAACCTAAAGATACGTCTCATCTACACACACCCCCAGTCTAGTGTGGAAATATGAATGTCTGCTTTCCTTTTCTCATTACAGAGTACAAGTACACAAAACTCAACCGTAATTTCGGTATTGTCACCAACATGCAGTGTTGAAAAATATGTTGGCTTTCCTCAACTGAGCTCTGAAATTTCCTCACTTGTATGGAAGTTTTAAATGCAATTTCGCGTAGAAGTATATAATAACTAATTTCCTCAAAATTTTCATATCGTCTTCAACACAAATGGTTGACCATCTGCATATTTTCTACCACAATTTCCCGAATTCGCCGAGTTGCTTTTAAAAGTCCTGCAGTTTCCATTCTACGAGATCGCCATTAGAAACCGTTCACGCGAAGTGGCGTAATACTCCATATAAAAAACGCGATATGAAGTGAATTGAAAACAGCGGACAAATCACTCCATATCACGTAAACCATTTCACCTACTTCACGCGATATTCATTTCTCAGTGAAATTT